GCTGACTAATAAGAATAATTTGCTCCCATTTTCATTTTAAGTGTGTTTTGTAGGCACTTATCAAAAATATCCTTTCCTCCTGTAATTCTATGGGCAGAACTTGCTAACTCTTGAATCTGCCTGCCCCCCAGCTTTCCATTTGCTAATTTTTTTTTCCACATAATCATGGTTATTTGAAGTGATGCCTAAAGCTCAGTGTAGTGCTGACCAGAGTTTCAGTTGTGAATTTGGCAGAACAGTTACTTCTGTTTATTTTGGATATTATATTCTTATTAACCTGATTCACAATGGCAAGCACAAGTTTTTGTGCCAGCATTTCATTTATTTGTTCAGGGTTAGACTGTGATGTTACAACCGAGTCTGGAATGAGGACTGTGTGCTTCTGTGCTCTCTGAATTTTACCTTGAGAGGAAGATGCTGCCTATCCTGGCAGTGGCCTGCCCTTTTATTACAGTAGCTGCAAGAGAGCAAAAGTCAAGACTGTTTCTTCTTGCTTGCTTATGTGAATCAGGAGTCCTCTATTCACGCAAGTGGGAATTGTGGAGTACTAGTGCAAAGGAATAAGAGGGTGCGTGACATTTGCCTTTCCTTCTGTGTTCAGAACAGGCAGGCTGCTATGCATCTTTCTGGCCTGCATTTAGTGTTCTTAATTTTTCTGTGATGTAATGTGGTATATTTTAATCTAATATTACTCTTGGCCACTTCTACTTTTTTCCATGATTAAAATGCAAAATGTATACAAGAGTGATATTTGATCCATCCTAGTTTTGTAGGATGTAAATATTAATACTGTACTTTCAATCCAATGCTTTTAGCTTAATGAAAATGCTCTATAACAATACAGATACCTATTAAATATCACCTTCTCTATGGCCCCTGAAAGATTAAAACTTGATTGGGTTTATTAGCCAACTGTTGATGCAATTGTCTAAAGGTATAGTCACATATATTAATTTAGGCATAATATAAAAGCAAATGAATGGGAATTCTTTGCAAGAAGTCATCTTGGAGCTATCACTTTGCGTGGTTCTAGTAACATTTTCTTTTTTACCTCTTCCCACGGTGCTGTTTGTGTGTTCTTCCTGCACAGCCATTATTAATCTCTCTTTGTCTCTGTTCCCAGACTTTTTCCATCCTGCCTGATCCTTTCTTGTTATATCTTTCTAGTCGTGCCCTGTGCTTTTTTTTTTTTTTTTTTGTGCCAGCAGGCTGAGAAAAATACTTAAGATCCTGAAGTTTTAGATGAGAGAAATGCCAGAACATGTTGCATCAGATCTTGACATTCATGCTTAACAAGACACTGGTTGGAGCTGATGGGACTCTTACTGACCCAGTGTTGCAATCTTATGCAATCAAGAGTTTGGGATTGTGGCTGTGCTCTGTAAAGTAACAGCAAAACTGTACATAGGATTCTCTGTTATTTTGAGTTGCGTTTCATGCATTCTCAAACCACAAATGAAATTTTTTTTTTCAGCTGCCAGTTCAAGAGTGAACTGGGAACATATATTTAAATTGCCATTTGAAGACAAACCTGAGTCAAAACTCAAATCCAGGCTTGTTAAATGCAAACCCATATTCAGGCAAGGTCTCTGGTTAGCTCACAGTACATGTTAGTGTGCTTCGGTTCCCTGTCTGTGACAGTGGCTCTTCTTTCACCGTGCTCTTTCTGCCATGAGGCCTTGTGATAATGTTATTTGTCCACTGCTAGGCAAACAAGTTGTTTCTGGGCTCATTTCTTGAAGGAGCCAAAGTCACGCGAAGCGGTTGGTTGTGGTAGGTTGTCTGAACTTTAGCTGACCGGGGAGCAGTGTGGATGTAATGTGCCCAGACAAGAACTCCATATACATAAATAGTGTAGGCATGTAGCTCTGTGAATTTTTAGTACAAATAGGGGTTTTGTGGAGCAGATACAAAGGGTGAATTGGGAGGATATAGGAGATGTCTTTCCTCCAATTATTGCCTGAGTTTGCTTTGACGGAGGAAATTACATGCTATATACTTACCTGCATTAGTCGTGTCCAGATAAAAGCTGGTAAAAGAGCTATAAATAAACGATAGCTTCATCAGCTCTCATGGCATGTTTTAAATTTTCAGGTGTCTTATGTAAATCGGTACTGTAATTCCTATAGGATAGCTGGGAGAATAAAGGAGTTTGTTTCAATAGTATTCACACTCGTCTTCATCCACTGTCGTACAAGTGACTTCTGGTGAGCAGTTTAGGGTTAGACTAGAGAGATTGACAAGTCTGTGTGGAGTCTAGGTGGGTTTTGTGTTTACTGAGAAAGAAATGAGCAATGGAGGACAGCAAAGACTAGAACCTTAGAAATTGATTCTCTCCATTGGGTAAGTGTTGGTTGAATTCAACATGTTAAACAGTGTGTGGTCATGGTTATGTGGTCAGTTTAATCCAAAGCAAATCGATAGTGCTGCTGAAGATGGTAACTGACTGTTGCAGTGTCTCCTTTCTGCTCCAGTCTTTTTGTGGTTCTAGTGGTTGTGTCTGTAGTCAGCCACACCAGGGGGCTGATCAAGCTTAAAGCTATAGAGAGATGCTAGTTTTCTGTCAGATGAACTGATCTGGTTCGTTTCACAAACATGTTAGTGTGAGTGCTAAAACATGCAAGAGGTAAAGGACAAACTGCCCCTGTAGTGCACTTGTAAACCTTTCTAAAGTGAGAGGGCAGTAACATTGTGTGGGTGAAAGGAATTGAGAAATGTCAATGTTTGTCTGCCTCTGAGCTTTAAAAGTGCTTGGGGGGAAGAACGGAGAGCAGAAATTTAACTTTTATTTTGTAGAGTTGCATGAGTAGAGTAAGCTTATTTTACTAAACTTTTTCATATAAGAAAAGGCTGGTTTTAAATAAAGGGAAAGAAATACAGCATAAATGTGAAGATGAATCTCTTGCTTGTCTCCCTGTGTTCAGAAACGTGTGGACTGTAACTAAGCTAATGTGCCACAATGGGTTGTGAAAAATCAAAATTCAAGTTATTTCCTTATACTTGCTTGTAAATTCTTCAGTGTTAATACCATACAGATAGAGTATGTCTTTACGTAATTTTACTGTTGCATTTTGTGGCTTGATAGATGCACAGTACATCTCAATCATCTTAGCTCTGTGAAGCTAATGCTTTAATGCTTACATGAAAGTTTACTTAGGAAAAAAAAAGCAAGTGTTCCATCTTTATTTGGGTGTTTAAGCTTACCTGTGAGTGAAGTGAAACAAGTAACTTCAGAGACTGACTGTGTAACCCCCTGACTGTAGTCACCTTGATTTTTATTTGATTTCATAGTGCCAACAGACCTGTTGATCAGTAATAAAAAAAATTACTGTGACAATGAATTTTTTTTAATTAATCTTATGCATTATTTCCCCTTTCTCAAAATAGGTGCTTAAAGAAAAATAACTTTTTTCTGACTATAGAAACTTCGGGTAGATGGAAAAATCTTGTTACTTGTGGCATATTAGAGGGCTGGGTCTACTTCTGTAATACATAGTTTTTGTCAAACGGTACCGTTCTGATTAGCATGAAACATGTTATTTTGGCATAAGCTTAAGTAAAATTTTGAGGACTTAGTTTATGTTCATATGATACAGATATGGTCTGTCTGCTATATTATTCTGTAGCCCAGAAAGGGGGACATCTTCATTTAGATGCCTGTTCTAAATAACTTCTTGTATTCTAGTTGCATATTCTTATCACTGAATATAATGTGTGGGTACACTGGGACTACAAGTGTAGAATGTAAGGAGACAGTAATGTAAGGATCTGGCCTATTGCTTGTAGTAAAAATGTTCAGTGCTAAACAAAGCTTCAAGCTGCTGAAAGCTCAAAACAAACTTGTGTTAGATTGACCAAAAGCAGTATTAAAAAAAATTCTCTTGGTTCATTCTTTACATAGTTCTAGAGTTAATGTATAACTGTGTCGAAGCAGTTTCCCTCTTCCCTTCCCCAGTAGTAAAACGTTGTGCATGTTTATGCTAGTGTCTTTTTAAAATTTTTAAAAAAATCCAGCTATAACCTGTTTAAAACTGTTTCCAATTGGCTGATTTTCTTTTTCTTTTTTTGTTAGATGAAAGGGGCACTGACTGAAATTATCCAGCTCGCTACCTTGGATTCAGACCCCTGGGTCTTAATGGTAGCTGATATTTTAAAATCCTTTCCAGATACTGGCTCCCTTAACCTTGATCTTGAAGAACAGAATCCCAATGTTCAAGATATTTTAGGAGAGCTTAGAGAAAAAGGTAAGCCTTTTCTGTTGGTGAAAATTACAGAAATATGATGCCTTTTTTTCAGAAATAACCTGTTGTTTCACAGGCAAACTTGCTATCTTAACAGTACTGGTATCAGGACAGGCAGTATGTCTTGTCCCTTAACTGCCACAGTTCATGACCTGGCATGTTACTGGACTGGGAACTGTGATATTTGAGGAATGGTAACTTCTTAAATTATCTTTTCACACATCATCAGAACTTGCATGTCAGGTGTTACCCTGAGTGTTTGTGAAGAGCAACATGCAAATTAATGTGGATTCATTAGTACTGTAGACAGGCTGTATGTGCACTGATAGGTAATAACTGCCTGACTGCAGCTTAGTAAGTTGACGTTTTTCATATATTGCTCCGTCTTGTATGTTGTAGTACCAAAGACAACAGTAAGGCTCTGTTTCTGCAGTGCTTGTGGGGACAGCCTCCTGTGTGTGGAAGCACCACTGCTGTATTTGGCAGGTGGGGTGCCTCTCTGTTGGAAGTCCTCATCTAGGCAGTGAATGATAGGTGCTGTGGGGGAGACTAATTACAGGAAGAGTTGTGCTGCTGATGTCCAACTAGCTACGGATTGCCTGGCAGCTGAAGATACTGGCTCAGGCGCTTGCACAGTTGCTACTTCAAACCATGTAGTAAATGGTGTTGCAAAGCTACTCCAGTGGGTTTGATTTAGCACATTGCCTAGAAAAAGCCCTCAGGCGTCAATGGACGGACCGTGGTCTTGGAATTAGGATTGCAGCAGACCAGTAATGAAACAACTTGGTGCTGGAAACATTTTGTTTTCCTGCTAGAAACAAATGATCATTTGTCTGTTCACGCTTTTGGTTTGGACTTCCGTTTAGTAGTTTCCTTCTTATGTGTAATTTTTAAGGAATCTGAGAATTCAGTCATTTTCATCTTCTTTTACTCTGACAATGGTAGCATATTTAAGATTCCTATAATTTGACTAGGTATAATTAACATAGAAGCTCTTATGAAGCTAATGTAAAAAAAACCAAACATCCTAATAACTGGTTATATACTGTGTAATAATTACAACTAAATTACTCTTGGTGTTTAAACAAGTAATCTAAAACTTAAAACCACCTGTACAGTTTAGTTGTAAAATGTTTTGTAATTAGCTATCAAAGAGGTGCTAATACCCATGTGTACTGTGTTAACTCTTTATGCAGTAAGTGAATGTGAAACTTCAGCTATGTTGCCGTTGGAATGCCAATACTTAAACAAAAATGCCTTGACAACACTAGCGGGGCCACTTACTCCCCCAGTGAAACACTTCCAGCTGAAAAGGAAACCTAAAAGTGCCACTCTCAGAGCTGAACTCTTGCAGAAGTGTAAGTAGTATTACAGCTAGTTGATAAGATTGAGTAACAAATTAAATGGTGAAAGGAAAATATATATTCGTCTTACTCACCGATATGGAGATATACATTAAAATTTTCTGTTATAAGAGCTTTGCTGGCTGACTTTTTTTCCTTTGATAGGCTGATATGTGTGGAAGAGCAGGTGCAAGTGATTCCAGCCATGATTACATTAAAATGCTAATCTTGATCTAAATGCTGTTCAGACTTCAAGGCATACAAAACCCTGTAGCTTTTTAAAGCACAGATATATTCTCTCATGGGTATATATAACAGTCAGTTGTGAAGACTTGTGAGGGTCAGCGTTGGTTAAAGCTCCTGAAACAAAACTGAAATGAGAACCTAGTTTTATTTTGCCATATGTTTTTGCAACAGGGAGCAAGAGCTGCTACTTAATGCTTTCTTTTGCTCAGTGTGGCTATATAGGGTGTGAAAACCAAGATGGTTTTCGCTAACAAAAGGCAACATGTGTACATATATGTATTGGTAGCTGTGCGAACTGAGCAGTCTTAAAATAGTTTACTGTACCTGCTGTTCTGTTGCAGCAGCTTGCTTCTTTCTTGCATGTGACTTGAGTAGTTGGTCTGGTTAACTACAAGATTTGTAACTTTTTATGATGTTACAGCATTTTCTTTAATGATTTCAATCTCTATTGAGTAAACTGCCTGCTCTGATAATTTCTTTTAGTTTAGACCATCTTGTCAGTTGCACAGTCATATTGATTTTGCATTTTCTCCAAATACTGTGTTTACCTCACATAAATGACCTGTTTTTTAATTAAAATATAATTCTTTCTTTGTTGCTATTCCCATCTTTTTATGTATTAGTTAATAACATTTTATATAAGAAGCAATGTATTGTACTTTTTCAGCACAGATTCTGTAATAACTAAAGCCCTCTTTCTTTTTAGCAACAGAAACTGCACAACAGCTCAAGAAGACTGCAGGAGTGCCTTTCCATGCCAAAGGCAGGGGACTGGTCAAAAAGATAGATACAACAAGTATGGCTCACTTCCATCACTTCCTGGAAAGAAAATCTGATGAAATAGCCTTGATGAAGAATAAAATTATCACCTAGCTTTTACAAAAACGTAATTCTTTTTGAAGCAAAGGATTTCTTCCTTTCTGCCCCACTCTCTCCTGATGTTTAAATGTTTCTGACATGTCTTGTCAGAAAGAACAAGAGTGTGGGGTTTTTCTTAAATGGCAAGTATAGCTGCTGTGCTTCTAAAATGTACACAGCTAGATCATGCCTATAGACTTTGGTAAGAATTTAATTTGCATCACTCCAGGAATAACTCCTGACTAAGCCATGTTGCTCCAAAAGGGAGCAGAGGGTATCACAGTAATCTGCTGTGCTCTTTGAAATGCTGTGAAGTAGCCTGAAACTATCTTGTATAATTCTGCATGCAGAAAGAAGAGGGGACCGTGTGTTCTCTGCAGCCAAGGCTGTGCAGTGGCTTCTATTTAATGGACATGACAAGATGCATAACCATTCTTCAGCTTTGCATTAATAGATTTCAACTGTTTGCTGAAGTTCCTGAACTGCTTGAATTTTTCAAATAAGTTTTTGGCTAGGAGCAAGAGGAGGTCTCAAAATTGGTTACATACTTTAAATCACTGCACAGGTATAACTTCTCTGACCACCCATATGATGCTGAGTGTAAAACTTGAGTGATTTCCTGGTCTGGTGGCTAGAAGCTGTGAAGTACTGTGTGTCAGTGCTATTTAAGGTGTGGTTTTAAGCACCAAAGTTGGGCCACGTGTTCATGCAGAAAACAAAAAGTGTAGTTGTAATTTGAACTAAAAACTGTCCCAGTATAGAAATTGACCATTAGTTCTTCTTGGCGACTGTTAGTTCTTCTTGGCATTCTTTTTAGCTGTTGAACTAATAAAGCTAGTTTCCAGACCTGGCCTTCAGAGCCAGGTGGTCTCTGGAAATACAAGTTATGGGACCAGCTGGGGTTTACTCTGCTGAAACTTACTCACATTGGTCAGAGAGGATTGTCCTATGGTGAAAAGGTTTTCAGTACAACATAGAGAGATACAGAATATCTAACCTCAAACTAAAACTCTGTGTTTATCTTCAAATTGTAGGGTATGATGAGATTGTCAGGAGGCTCAAAGACCTGATAGATATGTATACGTGTCCCTAATTTTTTAGCAGTTGATGAAACAATGCTGTCTTCTACCTCACACTTAATGTGAGCACTGAAGGGTAACAGTGTAAAGTTGGGAGGAAAACAGCTTTTTTATAGGTGTAGTAGTTTCTACTGAGTATCAAGACAGCAGGTTTTCTGTTTGCAATATGGACCCAAGTTGGATCCTCCTCCTCAAGCAAACAGCAGCTCCAGAATTTCAGAACCCTGTGTGAAGCAGTAATTTACGTTTCCAGTAGATTATGAGCCCTTAGCTGTGCAGAAGCTTGGCTAAGAATCTTTGATTAAATACAGTTTTACCAAGTAACTAGATGTTAAAGTTTGAAGAGCAACTCCGACAATAATTGGATTCAGAACATTCATGCCCAGTACCTTTTTATGTGTTCAAAGTTTATTTGTTATAAGTAAGGAAAGCATCGATGTATGTTGGAAAAGTATATTTTGATAGTAGTGCACCTGTTTGCAACCCCATTCTACATCAAGTAATTAAGCATTAGCCTAGAGATTGACTCTTACTCCCTGTTTGAAGGGTAAAACCTAATCTGACCTTTTGCTGTGGTTTAACCCCAGTTGGTAACTAAGCACCACACAGCTGCTCGCTGCCCCTCCCCCCACCCCCTGGTGGGATGGGGGAGAGAATTGGGGGAAAAAGTAAAACCTGTGGGTTGAGATAAAGGCAGTTTAATAGGACAGCAGAGGAGGAGAAAGTAATAATAATAATCAAAAGAATATACAAAACAAATGATGCACAATGCAATCACTGCTCCCTGGCCAATTCCACCCAGTTTATATACTGAGAATGATGTTGTATGGTATGGAATACCCCTTTGGCCAGTTCAGGTCAGCTGTCCTGGCTATGGTCCCTCCCAGCTTCTTGTGCACCTGGCAGACCATGGGAAGCTGAAAAGTGCTTGACTAGTGTAAACACTACTTAACACACTGATGTTTTAGTTGTTGCTGTCAACATTATTCTCATACTAAATCTAAAACACAGCACTGTACCTGCTACTAGGAAGAAAATCAACTCTATCCCAGCTGAGACCAGGACGCCTTTGAAGGATATGTAGTGCGTTACAGACAGTTTCACATTATAAACACTTGAAGTTAAAGGCGGGGGGGGGATGTTAAGAAGGGGAAAAGCCGAACAACTGCTTATTGGGGTTTTTTTGTAACTAATTAAACATCTATTACAATTGTGCCTTTTTTGATCTTCCCTAAGCACCACTCAAAGGAATACCAAAACAAGCTCCATTCAGGAGTACTTCAGCACCTAGTGTATTTAGTCCTTCTGGAAACAGAACTCCTATTCCTCCTTCAAGAACACCTTTGCGCAAAGAAAGAGGAGTAAAGGTAGGTACACTCTTCCTTAGTCTCTTGCTTTCCTGCTCAGTTCTCCTGCCTGATCTAAAGTGACTTTCTAATGCTGTTTTAAATGAAGTATTAATATATTAAAGAAAAAATTAAGGACAATATTTAGAGATCAACTACATAATAACCATCGTTAAATTTAAGTTCTCTATGATCTTTCCTTTTAGCTTCTAGATATCTCTGAGCTGGATATGGTAGGTGCTGGCCGTGAAGCAAAGAGAAGAAGAAAGACATTAGGTTGGTATAGCATGCTTCTTATCAAAGGCTATTATACCTGCAAATAGGATCTAGATTTGTAGTACCATTTTGTTCTCCATTTGTTAAAACTTATCTTCAGCTAAACTTTAAAAAAAGGGGAGGAAAAAAGTAAAAACTCAATCCAGATACGCTTTAAGGGAGAATTTTCACCTTCCCCCCCAATGCTCCTAATCATGTTGGCATGTGCCTAGGTAGTAATTTGACTCAGTTGCATAAAAGCATTGAACTAGTCAGTTGTGCTTTGGGCAGCACATGGGTGTGTGAGTGGCTTCAATGCTGGAATTGTTCTGAAATATATTTTGGTATGCTTATTTCTACTGGCTGTGTGGCCAAGTAAATTAATTGAAAGTAATGTTGAAAAAATTCATACTGCTCTCCAAAATTCTGGTTGAGAGATCTTAACAAGTGAATAATATCTAATATGTTGCTCTTAAGTCACGTGACAGTGCAGTGCTCTACTTAACCATATCAGGAAGATATACTAGGCAGCATATTTGCCTTACAACAACCTTTTTGTATCTGTCGCCCAAAAAAAATACTACCATCTCAGAACAAAATCATAATTGTAGTTAAATTTTTGCTTGGGTTTTGATACTTTCTAATATCACAAAATTAGCCAGTTCTGCCTAATTACTCAGTTTCTGTATCTTGATGGATATACATTGTGGTTCAGTTCATAATTGGGTTGATTATAAAATTGTGTGTGTAGATTACTGTATGTACCACCATTTCAGCATATACCTCTTTAAGCATGTTTTAGCAGACTTTGAGAAGTGCATTTTTCTATCTTTGTTTAAAAAAGTATATCTAATTCAGTATGTCGGAAAACTTCCTTGAACTGACTTCTATTTTTATGCAACAGATACAGAAGTTGTGGAAAAGCAAGCCAAAGAAGAAACAGTAGTAGAAAATGCTACCCCAGACTATGCTGCTGGCCTTGTGTCTACACAGGTAAACCCAAACAAAACCCAAACAAACAAAAAAAAGATGAGGAAAACATGATTCATGTTACTCTAAAACACTTAAACACTGTAATGATATTTTACTAATGTGCTGAAACATGCCTCTTAATGTAAAAATCTTTACATAATTATTTCAAAATTCCATTATATTTTCACCAAACTAGATAAAAAATTCAAAGCAGGATGAAGGTAAAGTTTTTGATTGTTTTCTTGTTGCTATTTTAAGTTTTGGATGGGGTATGGCATTTCTGTAACTGAGAATGGTAGTATTCTGTCAAATAAAAGGGATAGGAGAGCTCTGATCCTAGAGAGGTAGAATAATTTTCAGGAGTTCCTGCAGGTTTCGCTCTGTGCATCCTTTGTGAGCCTAGTGGAATAGTGTCCACAGAAGTCTCAGTGAGGAGCGCTGGTCACTGGCCTGTGCCCAGGAGGGATAGCTGAATATAAGCAGCCAAGTAAGAAAGAAGTCTTTACAAGTCATCTGTCTTTTGGCTTGAGAAAAGAACCTACACACTAGTACCCTTCTGTGGTTTTCTCCATTTTTAGCTTGTAATCTTTGAGAATTGATGCTTAATCCAGAAGGCAGCTTTTTCTGAGGTCTCCAAACCTGTTTGTAACTAGGCTTAGCCAGTCCCGTTACTACTGAAAGGTGGGGAGAAATACAGTGGAATTGATCTCTGTCCAAATTACCCATGGCTTATAAAAACCCACAAAGTTCAGAGGTGGCAGCTCCTTCTCTTAACAGTCTTTTTTTTTTTAATCCAAAAGTTGTTTAGGGTCTACTGAAAAAGCTAACCTGTTGCTAGAGGTAGTTCAGTTGGGGGGTGGGAGGTGGGGGGAGTTGTGTGTAGCACTTCTTCCCTATTCTTTCAGGTAAGGTGCATTGGGAGAACTGTGATGTAGCTTTATGTTTTCTCAGTCAGGACGTAGCTTCTACAAGAATGTTAGGTCCTTCCTCCACTTATGAGTTAGAAACTGTGTTCTATTCCAGCAAGCTTTGTCCTGGAATTCATTTGGACAACTGGGTTCTTTAGCTACTAATAGATAATTTGAGGCTGCCGCACCCAGTGTTTAAGCCTCTCAGGACGATGGAAGACCATCTCAAATCTTAAGTGTCTTTTCTTGTTCCAAATTTGAAGTCATGATTACCTCTGTCTCTTAAGTCCATGTGTTGACATGCAACACTTGCCTTTGGAGAGCACTCTGTTTAAAAGATCTGTCAACTGGTTGGTGAGCCAGGCATTTTTTTCCTGTAGGGCTTAATGGTAAGCACATGCAACATTGGTCCCGTGGTTATGGGGGTAGCAATCTATGGCACACGTGCCAAAACCAACATATAGGCAGATATTGGTAGGCCTGTGTCAGGAGTGAAGGTCATTGCCTGTCTTTCTGCAGAATGCTAAGAGTATCTTTTCTGGCAAGCTCCATGTTTTACAGAGTATCCATTTTGATTTTGTCTAGTAAGGCTACCTTAAATGATTTGTCTGCTAGACTTACTCCCCCAAAACTTCTTTCCTCCGTCAACCCCTTATGTTTATAAGGCTGGATTGGACTAAAGTGAAGATCTTTACAGAGATACCATTGTTGTCTTTATGCCATGTGGGCAATATCATGTATAGTTAAGTAAAAAATGTGGCATTTTCTTTGGCTTAATCCTAGGTGACATCTGTCATGTCGGTGTTGACTGCCCATTTCAGTGGAAACAGGGTGTTACCTGTGCTTTTACTGCTGCCTTCTGCTTGCTTATGTCCCAGAGGCCTTTATGTTCTCCTGGGTGATACTTTAGTAGACCTTTTGCCCAGGGGTGAGCACAGGTTTCTGCTTGCTAATAGTGAAAAGTGTGTTTGCTCAGGCAGAAGATCACTTATTTCTATAGTGTAATTCTTCAGAGTACCATCTGCACAAATTTCGTCATCTGGTCTTCACGCTACCGGCTGAGGAATGGGATAAAGGAACACCAGCTTCACTCTCTTTGTAGAAGTACATTCTCCATAATAGTATTTTTTCCTGGCTCAGACTGTGCCTTTGGAAGGAATTTTGATTTGAATTAGGGGAAATAAAAGCTGCTTTTTCTCTCCTAGGGTAATTCTAATGTCTGAAGTTTGTATAGGGAGTTAGGGTTGAAAGGGCAAACTTGCCCTAACAGAGGAGTCCATAAGTAAGTTCCCAAAAGGAATATCATAGGACAACTAATGTTGAAATTGTATTTAAAATGCAGAAACAGTGCATGAATGTATGCAGTATGGCTATAACACTTTCTTTTCTGTTTTACAGAAACTTGGCTCATTGAACAATGAGCCTGCACTACCTTCTACAAGTTATTTACCTGCTACCCCCAGTGTGGTGCCGTCTTCCTCATATATCCCAAGCTCTGAAACACAGCCAGGTAAAAGATTTTATTTTTTTGCTTTTGGGATCTAATATCTCCAACTCTATACAGTTTTACTCTCTAGCTCTTTTTTCATTTACAAACTTACTATCCCTCAACTCTAGTGAAACTTAACCTTAGCAGTCTAAAAATCCATTGCAGCAGCCCAGCCTTTGGGTTTTGGGTAACCAGATGTGTCATTTAAACTAAATAAAGAAAGTGCTTGTTGTTCTTAAGTCTTAAAATGACTGCTAGTTAGGTCAAGAGGTGGGTTTTTTTTTTCCTTACTCTGTAATAGAAAATTCAGCATTTTTTTAATCCCTAAAGAGATACCAGTTATACACAAAGTCTGGAGTATATACTCCATACACACATCCATTACACTTACAAAACAGTTGCTTTCAAGAGTTAGATATGTTTCTAGAGGCAAGTACATATTAGCTTTCACACAGGCTGGGATCAAGCCATCCATTTTCCTTTTACCTTTTTGTAACAGTCTGATAGATAATAGTTGAGCTCCTGTATATTTTGAAAAGTGCTGCATTATTTTCAATTCTAGAAAATTACCTATTGTAAAAAATAGCATTCATACAAATTGTTTATTTCTACACCTTTTATTTTAACGCACTTGGTTTGACTTTTCCTTCCCTGCTGCATGTAAAGTCTTAAAGGAATGTGTTAGTTTGCACTAACAGATGTGCATGACTGGGATTCATTACCAGACCTTGCAGTTTAGAGACCCAACGTTTCAGTTAATGTATTATTTTTACTCTTGCTTGTTGTGATTTGGTACTGTAATGCTTGTCTTTAAGTATGTGAGCTGTGGCATGTTGGTCATTATAGAAAAATGCATATGCAAAACCTGATCACTTGGCCTTGAAACAGTTCAGAATCTCTCTGAAGGTCCGTGCAAATCTTTCTCTAGCAGAAAATTGGCATCTCCAGAAGGAATGCAGCCAAGAGCACATCAGTGTTGTCAGCAGCTAGTAGTATTTTCCAGAGCCTTGGCATTGTATTCAACAGCAGGAAAAGCATAGTTTAAAATTCTCTGTTGTCTTTTGTTCTTTATTTTTTTCTAACTTATTTTTTCCTTCTGGAGTATGGGGTATGTAGCTTTTCTTATGGACAAGGAATATAAAACTGTTTCCTTGATAGAAGATGCACACAGAAGATCCACAGATCTGGTCTCGTATAATCTGAGGTTGCAAAATTGAGACATGTTACTTTATGCAAGTCAGTTATTCTCACATGAGAGGAAGCCAGTAATAAAACTTGAGAGATTTGTACAAAATTAAGCGGTAATGAATTTGCAAATGTTTGCCCTCTCAAGTGTTCACTGTCCTGTTCCACATCTTACTGGATAATAGCCATATTGTTAAAACCAGTGCTCTATCTGTGCCTAGCTGGAGAGTGGCAGACCTCTCATTCTCTAAAATCTGATTTGAAAGGCATCAGTGTAGCTCTGGTCTGTATCTGCCTTTTAGTCTACTGTGAACACAATGTGAATAGGTTAGCTTAAACCTTATGAGATTCCTGAAAGGTGCTTAAGCAGCTGTGCCTGTGTCTAATTAGAGCTGTAAAAGAATGCAACTGGGTAGAGTGTACACTGGATAATGACTGTTTGCTGGACAGATGGTAACTTAAGAAATCACAGTAACTTGATCATATACGTAACCTCCACCTGTGGCCAGGTTTGGAATAGTAACTCCCTTAAGTGCAGGTAAATGGATGAACTTGGAGAAATTACTGAGTTAGGACTTGCCAATACTGTGGGGTTTTAACCCTCCTAGCAGTCAGTGTTTAAATGAGTGATTTGTGAAGACTGCGTTTAATTCTGTCATCTGTTGAAGTATTTGTGTATTTTCAGTATTTGCTACTGGCTGATACTTAATTACCATTTCCTTTGGAAGCTGCTGCTACGTTAGGTGGAAACTAATGAAATATTTTTATGGTTTGGCTTTTACATAACAGTGCAGCAATAATCCTGGTAGGGGCAGAGTACAGTTGTTACAGCCATATAAGCTAAAAAGTAAATAAAGCAGTTTCAATTTAATAAATCCGATATCCATTAAACATAAAATTTCATGCTAAATATAGTGTAATCCATATTGGACAGCTAGTCACTCAGTTGTCTAATTATTGCTAAAGATAATTGAGTGGAAAGAGCATTAGAGCTTCAATTTTTCACATAGATATTAGATGGCATATTGAATTGTGGTGCTAAAACAGAATAATCGGAGTTCTTAGTTTTCTTCAAAAGCCATTGGTGATGTTAATCCCTGTTTGTGGATTATAATGTTTTTAATTATTCTGATTGTTTTTTGCAGCTGGCTCTGCACGAGAGGCCTTGCAGACTAACAGACAGACTGAAGAACCTGCAGCTCCAAATGCTACCACAACTCTTCCTGCACAATTCAAACAAAGAACACCCATGTACAACAGTAACTCTAATCCACCTGCAGCTACACCTACCTCACCCCTAACACCTACCACACCTCCTGCCATTTCCCCTGCAGCACAAGCACCACAAGTGGCTGCCCAAACTCAGCAACAGCCACCACCGAAAAAAAGCCTCTCTCTCACAGTAAGTAAAACCAGGTTCTTTTTGACTGCTGCTTTTGAAGTAGATTGGAAAATGCACATTTTCTTTACGGATCTCATTTAGTATGTTGGCAGTTCCTGGCCTTTGGGTCATGGAGTGGTTGAGGCTGCTTTTTTACAATTAAAATGTTTTGTGGCTTTGTTAGCATTGCTGTCTTAAAAATGTTAATTGCAACACTTTTAGTTGTGCAGTGTTAATGTTACAGTAAGATGTCTTTATTTACTGCTATTTGTTATGTAAAATAATGTTGTGTTACTTGTTATAAAGAATTCTGGGAGAAAGGTGTATTTCCAGCAGAGCTGTTGCCCAGCCAATTGCATATGATGTAAGCTGCTAAAAACGGTCATGTCATTGCAGTGATAGGAGAAAAGATATCAATAGATTATTCTAAGGTGAAAGCTTTTATTTCTTGACCCCCTTATCCTGCCATTACACATCTTTTAAAGCCTGAGAGTGGGGAGGAAACTAAATTCAACAGCAATTACTTATGTCCTGAAGCTTCTTATTGCTTGTATGTTAGTATATATTATGTGCATGCTTGAAGTTAAGCAGGTAACTAATTCAAGATGCAGCTGACTTGAAGACTTTGCTAAGCAAATCTGTAAGCCTGGCTTGAAAGATCTGAATTTTAAGAAACTGGGTGACTTTTTCAGTATCTCTGCTTCATTTATTAAAGAAAAAAACCCCATTCCTCTGAAAGTATTGCAAGCCTGGGTTTGGACTGTAGAGGAAGCATTGGGGTTTTTTCTCCCTTTTCCTAATGTCATAAAGAATGCAACATTGATAATGTAAACATTAAGTCTCTTTAGCACATGCTTCTGTAACTATGTAAAGGTGGTTTTTTTTTCCCCAGTTTCAGAATTCAGTTGTCACTGCTGTTAAGTGTAAGCACTAAAGAGGGAAAGGAAAGCCTTGAGGTTAAGGCTTTTCTTTGCTTACTTTTTGTAGGTGTACAAACTTCCACCTTACTCTTGCCTGTGGGTATCAATATGGTACCTGTTGGCAGTGTTTTCTCCACTGAATTCATATTTGTTCTGTCTGTTGCAGAGGGAGCAAATGTATGCTGCACAGGAAATGTTCAAGACTGCAAACAAAGTTACAAGGCCAGAAAAGGCTCTTATACTTGGATTCATGGCAGGATCCAGAGGCATGTATTGATATTAATTTAGCTTGCTTTTGAACACCCAAATCTGAAATACAGCCTAGCATTTCTAAATGTGCATATGTAAGTGCAAGATTCTTGCTTTTAGCTTTACTCTGTACATATGGGACACTTTGCTTTACTCTGGACTGTATGTAGTTTTATGGATTACAGTTCTAACTACTGTAATTCTACCTGGAAATGGGTCTTTAGGGTCTATTTCCAATAAGTCAAAGAGTCTGTCAGAGCAGCTGCTAAACACAATATATGCATAACTGAACACATGTAATATTGTGGCTTAGGGGTTGAGGAGAAACAAGGCAGCCAGTTGGAACAGTGAACAGACTGGTTGGGTCCTAGTAGTCTGTCTAGAAGACCAATGAATGTAAGTTCTTTTGTGGCAAGTCGAGGTACTGTTGGGTAGCACAGAGTCTCTTTGCTAATTCCTTAGCTTTAGAAATGTAGCAGCTGTTGTCTCAGAGACTTTAGGTAACCATAGGTGCTGTGAATCACAGAGAGATAAGCTGTCTGTTAGCTAGATCCTGTTATGTATTGGCCTTGATAGAATAAGGCTGTTTTACTCAGAAGACTATCAGATGTAAGATGAGAAGGGGCTTAAGAGTCCTTAAGTGAACTCTATCATTGCACTAGCTCTGGTTTCTAATTTGGTATTTGAGGGCTGTTACCACTTGAATGTTGGAGCCTAAATGTGGCTCATGCATTTGGATTAATGCAATACATTATTGAAGATGACCAGGGCAGAGTTAGTGTGATGATTCCTGGGCTTCAAGAAAGTTTTGTGTATCTTGTATTAATGATGGTGCCCTTAGAACTAGGTGCTACTTCAAATTGCAGTAGGAGAGTGTACTTTAGTATCTACATGGACAGTTTTTTGTAATGCAAGGTAAAATGTTATTTTGGAAGAGTGTGTGTGTTACATATTCACATCTGTATATATAGATAAGTATATAACAATATGAATTCCTTCAGTAATAATGTCAGCACCTTCTGAAGGTTGGGTAAATAACTGCCAGCTATGATACTCTTGAGTTTCCTGAGTGTTAATTCCAGTACCTTGAAATGCAACATTCAATACTTCTACTAGAATGGAATTGAGTCTTGGATGAGTGATTTCAGTGAAGTTGTTTGGGCTTCCAGAACAGCTGAAAATCGTTGAGGCTTTTAAGTACAAAATGTATCCCAAATCCAGCCACTCTGGTAGTTCAAGTTTACCAACTCCCATCTAAATACAAGCTTCTCCTATAGCTCTTGAGGCAGAGATGACTGTCATGCTTTACTCCCCATTTTGTTGTTCTTCTAGCTGCTTTAGCCTTGGGGTTCGTCTTTTGGGGTCTGGTTTTGTTATCCTTAAAACTCAGTCTGTGATGTATGGAGGGAGGAAGATCTTTGTGTGGCTGTATGTATTAGTGACATTACTTGCTCGGTTTTGGGTTTGTGGTTTGTTGGGTTTTAGGGTTTTTCTTCAGCATAAGGTTTAGAATCTCCATCAAGTGCTCTTTATCTTTTCTAATACAATACAGAAATGTGTAATTTATTCATCTTCTTGTTTTCACAGAGAATCCTTGCCAAGAGCAAGGTGACATCATCCAAATTAAACTTAGTGAGCATACAGAAGATTTACCAAAGGCAGATGGCACTGGCAGCACCACTATGTTGGTTGATACGGTCTTTGAAATGAACTATGCTACTGGTGAATGGACCAGATTCAAGAAGTACAAACCTATAACTAATGTTTCCTAAGAGATGCAGCAACAGTAGACTGGACCAAATCAAGCTTAGAGTCAACCAGCTCATAGAGTATGTCAACTGTACAAAATGGCATTCATGTGTACATTTCTTATTACCCTCCAGAGTAAAAGTTGTGGCTCTTCAACCTAACTGGACTCAGTGAACACAGAAGATGGTGTCAAACTTGTGGTTTTTTGTTGGTTTGTTTTTTTTTTTTTTTTTAATCTTGGGAGAGGGACAGGTGATCTTAGGGGGGGAAGTTTTGGTGTGTTTTTGTTTTCCTACAGTTCAAGATGCCAGAAAAGGAGATCACAACTGAAAGATTACAGATGGGAGCAGTTTACTTCTGAGTACCAGAAGAGAAGACTACTGCGCAGTTATTCACAGTTTACCATTGAATGAGGGCACAGATCTTTATTGTAAAAAAATATTTTCTTTGGCTACATGGGTTCTGTTGTAAGAATAGACATTTAAAGCACCACCAGTCAGTGCTTGATTACTTTGTAATTCAGCTGCAGTATAACTAAATATTGCAGGTGGCAGATGCCCAGTGTCTAATGGTACCCACTGTATGTTTAGCTTATTTATGCTTGGGCCATAGGATGGAATTGAGCAGCTTTGTTAACTTGCTATATTGTCAATGTCCATGCCCAGCATGAGTTAATCTATATTTGGCATTATTTGAGATCAAGAGAAACTGAGTATTGTAACTTTCTGAAGAAAAAAAACCATCAAAATTAAGAAAAAAGAAAAGTAGTGGTGACTGGTCACTGCCTGGAAGTGATAGCTCTTTACCATGTAAGTCTTAGGGTAGAAGTTGATCTATGGCTTTTGTGTAGCAAGCCCTTTGAACAGCATAGCTTACCTGGGAGGAAGTGATACTGTTACATCTCAAGACCAATTGCAGCTTAATTTTAAAATGGCCCTGGAAATGGTTGAGTGACACACATCTGAATATAGGTGGTTGGGAAGATTTGTTGTCTTGAGGTAGTGTTAACTTATGTTTGGTTGAGCAGTTGTAAGGCACTTGGTTGCCAAACCCTGGTCCAAAAAGTTTTGAATGACTGTAGCTGTGGTTTTTACCAGCATGGTTATATCGGTATAATCACTAATGTGGCCACAGTTATACTGGCATATAAATGTGCCTTATACTTGTCCCCTTCTAGTAGAAGCACATTTTTATCTTTATAACTGTGTTCACACCACTGGTATAATCTGGCTTTAATAGTACAAATAAAGCTTGCATTTATTGAGGGCTTATGTACATGGTTCAGGATCCATATTTTAGAGACTTGGCTTCATCATTTGAAGGAGACTTAGATGAAACATCTGTTTTCTGCCAGTACTTGTATGTGGAGCTGTGCTTGGTTGGGAACAGTGCTTAGAAGGAACAAATACAAAGATGAGTAGCACAGTGGTTGTTTGGTGCTGAGGAGGTACCTTGGGCTGACTAGAGGTTCATGTTAAAGTGGAACTCTCAGGACAAAATGAGGCTTTTTTTTTTTTTTTTAAAAAAAAAGACCAAATCCCCTAAGTACACTTACATACTAACAAAGATGTTTAGATGATTGATCAGAGTCTTCTTGTACTGGGGAATTTTTATTGCGTTTTATTTTTAGTTTTTCAAACAAATTATCCAACAGGACAGGGCAAGTATAAATAATAAGAAAATCTGTATTCTACAGTGTTTTAAGATGTGACCAAAAGTATAGATTTCTTAACTTTATTTAAGCAAATATACAGAATGTTCTAGCTCCTGTAGTGGGCAAGTTATTTGATGGTACCTACTACCATTGCAGAGTGTTGTGCATGTATTAGTGTGAAAGTTACTCGCATATAACTGTCACATTGGGGGCTTTCCTCCACCTAATTACCCCATTTCAGAAGCAATGTAGATTGTTACTCTGATTGCGATTTTCTTTTTGTCTTTAAACAGCTGGAAACCAGCCTGACAAGTGAGGATGAGTAGTGGGTTTTAGTTTTTAGAATGAATTCAGTAGAAATGCATTATCATGGTTATAACTTATTTGATTATAGTATATTAAACAGTAAGGGCTAACAATAGAATATGAAAGTATTCATCTTTTTAAAAGAAAGGTTTAAAGAAAAGTGACATTCCTCTTCTTGTCTGCATTCAGATTTTTAAAGTTTTCTTGTGATGACCAGTTTTCTGTAAACATGTATGATACTTTTGTCTTAACTGTTCCTGTTTGCTAGGTAAGCTGCAAGTACCAAATATAGTTTTTAAGAAAGAACTTTTAGAAAATTGGCTGACTTGAGGAGCATGTACTGTCACTGTAAATTGTTGATCAAGACTCTTTGCAATTCAGTAGTGATCAGGAGCTGCTGCGTGATGGCTCTTGGTTTACTTGAGATTAACAGGGGTCCCTCACTAAACTTTTAGTCCACAAGAGTCTGCATTTCAGACTTGTGCTGCTGGAATGGAGACAGCTGTCCCTCTCCTCTTCAAGAAGCCCTTCTAGAATGCAGTGGAGTCATTTGAGTGCGGTAGTGCGTAGGAAGCTTAACCATGCTGCTACCTATTTGTATTTGCTGCATAACAAAGTTGGTCTCCAGGCCTGTTTGTCTGAAGTCAGTCATATGCAATAAATGGAAATTTTAAATAGAAGCATAGTATATTTTTAATTCCGTTAAGTCATTAGGATGAGACAATTTAACACTGGAAAAAATAATTTATTTTTAAAGTGACTTTATGACCCTCAGTACCAGAGCATTACTTCAACTTGATCTGTGAATCTAGAAAGTTTTTTTTAAATGCCTAAAAAAGGGAAGTTTTTGTAACATTATTAAAATGATATGGTAAGAAGTAAAACTACATGGAGTTCTTTGACTCAGAGAATGAAATTGCTGAACCAGTGGCCTGAAAGTAGGCATAATGCTAGACAATGCAGAAAGGGCAACATCAACATTTAAATTCCAATAGAATGGAATTGTTGCATACTGAACAAAATCTGGCACTGGAACTTAATATTTTTTGTCTTGAGTATTCAGTCACTTGGATGTTAGCTGGATTCCATTCAGTGAGGCTCAGTGTGTGCTGTGAGATTAAACAAAAACATTTGTTGGCTCTAGAATGACTTGCAGATGTACTGACAAATTGACCAGAGTGGTAGTTTAGAGTTTTCTTAAAGCTTTGTTTGTGTCCTTTCTTCTTTCCCTTTATCCAAGCATGAAGTTTTAGGAAATAGCAAGCCCAAACTTCCAAAGTGCATTACTGCATCTCAGCAAGGCAGGATGTCCCAGCTTCTCTTGCCCTTGCTTGTAAAGCACCACCTGTCTGTGCAAGCCTAGGCATGATATGAATTAGCTTATTTGATTTTAGAGTGTTTTAGAGAAAGAAGCAATGAAAGTGGCTTGTAGGTTTTTTTTTTTCCCCTGTCCTGTCCAAACTTTTTATTCTTAGGGAGAAAGAACACATACATGCGTACCCAGGTTTCTTTAACAACTTGCCCTACAGCAAAGTGCTGGGTTTCTTTAGGCTCCATTTTCTTTCATGAGTGCCATGAGGACCAGAAAGAGTGAAATGAGTATAATGAAGAAGGTGAGCCCAAGGAGGATGCTGAGCAAGAGTTCTGATCATAGATTCCATCTTACTGTTAGAACACTTTTTCCTACTCTAGTGCTCTGTAGTTATCTCCATACAAAACAGTCTAGGCTTAGTATGGTTAACACTCTAGTGTTGGGCCAGTATTTTGTGGGTTAACTTGATTTTTCACTGGTAGATTTGCCATTTATCTTTGAGTTAAATACCATAAGATGCTGAATGCAACAGGGAGGAGCCTTTGGTAGTTGCTTGACACCTCCATGTGAAATTGGTCACTTCTCTCATTAAGTTGTGTCAAAGTGCAGACCACTTGTCTAGATGAAAAAAGCTTGAGACTTTGACATTATACAGTTTAAGAGTGAATCACATTTTCATAGTAAGATCTGACTGGAAAAAAAAGACTAAAAAATGTTAAGCCAGAGCCCTCTGGGAATCTGGTGCCTTTAACAAGAACTGTCATTTTGTAAAATGTTACATCTATAGCATATGAATTCATTCATTCATAGCCCATATGTTTTCTATTGGTTTTTTTGTACAGTTGTAAATTCAAAATATTCTGTCTTTGGGTACGTATTTTCAGTGTAATACAGTATGTATAATAAAAATTTAGATTTTCTAAGGAAATGGACTGATACTTTTTTAATAATCAAGTTGTGTACAGTTGAATTGGTGATGAGTACCACTAGCCTGAGAACAAATAGCCAAATTGCATGATAATGTGTATCCATTTTAGATTTATGTCATATTGGTTCTGTAGATGCATTTCAGAGTTGACATTTCAAAGTTGACATATACTAGTTTTGCTGATTAGGATATTTGTGAGTAGGAGATGTTACCAAAATACCTGCGCTCACTTTCTGAGCAGATTCCCTGAAAGCTGATTAACCCTGGGTGATGTGTCTCCACGGCGTGTGGGTGTGCATATACTGAAGCATTCAAGCCACGGCGTAGACTTGACAGTATGAGGAAGGTATGCCGTGCATGGGTTCTGTGGATGGCCCATGTGGAACGGAAGTGTGGAATAAACCCTAATTTTTTTTTATGCCTTCTTTAGCTGAATTACAGCAATGGTGGCCTCTCTCAATTTTAGAGTGCTGCAGAAGGTGGGTGGTTTTTGGTTTGGGGTTGATACTGGTTTTTTTTCAGAAACTGTTTTCATGCTCAGAGATACAGTTTCTATGGTCTAGTTTATCCTGTGATAAACATGAAGGCTTATCTTAACAATGTTGAGTTATATGGACCTGTGTGGCTGGCCTCATTCCAATTTTCTTATGTACAGCTGTGTGACATGGCTCTGTTACACTTGCCTGTGCTGGTGTGGTGCCAGACATAGTCTAAGGTTTTCCTTTTCTGTGTTGGATTGACCTTATCAAATAGCCGGGAAGGGAATTCCGTTCCAGGTCAACTGCTCTGGTAGAATGCTTGGTACAAAGCTTTGAGAATAGGTTGAGATGCACATTTTATTTCACAGGGCACTTGCTCTGTCAAAGAGATTTTCCTGGTGCCCAGATGAGTGACTCAGTGATACATTTTGTATGAATAGGTACGTGCCAGTTTGCCTGTCTTCTGAGCATGGCCTATGCAGAATCAGACCCATCTATTTTTAGCAATATCTGT